CTGGTGAGCCAGTGAGATTTATTGGGGTTGCTTGCAGGAGCAGAAGTGACTCACACCCCAGCACAGCCGACGGCTCCCAAGTTTGGAGCACACTGCACAGCCTGCAGGGCCACTCATCAGGTTGAGAGTGCTGTCACCAGGTGCCTCAGTTGGTCTAAACCTCTTCAGGTGCTCAGCTGGTTGCTGCTCCTCCCAGTCAGCTGTTCTGATCTCAGAATCTTCTCTGAGCTTGGTGCCCTTCAGTCTGAGGAAAACTAGCAGTTTTTATTACTTTCTCTTTCTGTGGCAGGGAGGGATCTAGAGAATCTAGTCAGTTTCTGGCACTTCCTGGGGCTACTTGGAGTTGGTTACCTTCCAGCTTCAGGAGTAACTTTACAAATATCACTAATAAATAATAATTTTCATGAGCTAAATATCAGATAACTTGGGCAGTGGATGTAACTCATTTATAGGTTTGCTTGCTTAGGATGGGTGAGATCCTGAGTTTAATCTCAATGCTGGCAGGAAAAATATCAGATAATTTTACATTGCCATTTGTATAGAAAAAAATTGTGTACCTGCAATTCAACATTTATTTATTTTTAATAGTTTATTTTTATTTTATGTGCATTGGTGTTTTGACTGCATGTATCTGTGTGAGGGTGTCACATCCCCTAGAACAGTTGTGAGCTGCCATGTGCGTGCTGGGAGTTGAACTCGGGTAGATCTGAAAGAGCAGGCCATCTCTCCAGCCCGCAATTCAACATTTAAACTAATACCTACATGGAGTGAAAGCAACTAGATGATAGCGTGCAATTGATTCTTTCTAGCAAATGGGTTATAAAACAAAACCACCCAAGCCCTCACAATGCCAAGTATATACGTGTGTGTGGCTTCTTAAGTGGTTTGAAAGAGACTCACACATTTGGATACTTGGTCCCCAGTGGATAGAACTATTTAGAGAGAATTAGGAGGCATAGCCTTGCTGGAGGAGGTGTGCCACTGGAGTCAGGCTTTGCGGTTAAGACCAGCCTTTCCCAGTTGGCAGCTCTCTGCCTCAGGCATGTGGATCAAGATGTGAACTTTCAGTCACCGCTCCAGTGCCACACCTGCCTGCCTGCTTGCAGCCAGGCTCCCGCCATAATGGCCATGACTCTAATAGTCTGAAATTGTTAGCCCCAAATAGACTCTTCCTTCTATAAGTTGTCTTCGTCACAGAATCTTGTCATAGCAATAAAAAGGTGATGAAGACAGTTGACACACTGAGACCTCTCCCAATAGGCAATTTTGTAGTGTTATCATCGGTAGTTTTCTAAATGCAGATGAACAGCCTACTAGGCAGCGAAGCTGTGCGACCTAACATACTGCTTAAGCTACACACCTGCATAGCATGCTCCTGAACTGAAGACTGCACAATTATAACACAACAGTAAACGTGTTTCTCCATTTAGGCTTGGCATGGTGGCACACACTTATTCTCCCAGTACACAGGAGGCTGAGGCAGAGCCTGGGGGATTGTAAGTTCACAGCTAGTCCAGGCTACAGAGTAAGACCCCATCTCAGAAAGGTAAATTTAAACAAATTAGTGTCCAGCACTGTGAACCTAGTGAAAACACACAGCTGGGGAAGTCATAGGCACTAGGAGAGCACTTGCTGCTTGCTTAGCTGACCTGACATGGCGCCACACCACCTTCTGACCCCATGTTCACACCCGAAGTCAATGCCTTGCTCAGAGAAGCCTCTCATTTTGGCCAACACAGATGTTTTGGCTGCTCAGCTAGGAGTTCAGTCCCAAATAGGACCATGCCCTTTAAGGCTCAGGGAATTTCACAGAAGGGAGGCAAAGAATAGGAGGCACAACAGGCAGTACAGCAACAAAATGCTATCTTCTGGGCACAACCCAGCCATTGCAGTCATGACCCCACAGCTGCTATGGTTACCTGTTCCCAGCCTGCCCAGGGCTGGCCCTGTCCACAGTCAATCATGAGTGGGGGTGGGGCTTCCAACTACTGAACCATTGGCTACGGACAGATTCTGGAAGGTCGTGAGTGTCTTTAGTTGTGTGCACACTGTTGAACAGCTCCAAATCCATGTCACACACGCAAAAAAAACCCTGGTTAAACTTAGTGGTTCACAAACATGACATGAATGTGGGAAAGAGATCCATGGGCAAGAGGAGCTCTGCAGTGGGGGGAGGGAGCTGAGACTAAGCAGAAAACATACACATTTATAAAATTATCAAAAAAATTTAAAAGGGTTCAAAAAAGTTAAAGGATATTTGAAACAATAGGCACACTAACTTTCTAGTTTTGTTCCTGTATCAATCTTACAAAACTTCATGATTCCTGTAAGTATAAACAATTTAAATATAAAATTATAAAATAAGAATCTAAATTGCATATATCACTCAGTCATTTGTCATCATTACGAACAGCATAAATTATTCTTTCCTACCTTTTTTTTTTTTGTTGTTTGAGACAGGGTTTCTCTGTGTATCCTTGGCTGTCCTAGATTAACTTTGTAGACCAGGCTGGCCTCAAACTCACAGCGCTCTATTTGCCCCTGCCTCCCAGATGGCTGGGATTACAGGTGCGCATCACGGCGCCCTGCTTCTTTCCTGCTTTAGTATTAGTTACGTCAAGACATTGGCTTAAGCACACATGTTCACCTGCACATGTTGCACACGTGCACAAACATGCATGTTTGTGAAGACAGACAGCCGTACTACATTATATAGTATTGTGTGAAAACCATGTTGGCTCCCTGAGTCGGAGGACACCATTCCTGAAATATGAGAAGCACAGTCATATCTAGGCCATTTACTGAGTCCAATCCTTACACTAATTTCATGTTACCCATCATAAACATTCTGATGACAATTACCGAAAAATAAACAAGAGGCTGGTCCAACTCCTTGCTTCCTAGACAGGCTAATGACGGCCAGAGAGAGCAGCTGACATGGACATCAAGGCCCAATGTGATGCTTTCAAGGCCACCAGGGTACCACGCACCTCGGAGGGAGAGCAGTTGGTGGGTGCAACAGGAGTGTGTGTCTTGCTTAGAAAGGTCCTGAGAAAACTGAGCCTAAGCCACCGAGCTACCAAACAAAACGCTTGCACCGGCAGGCCAGTTTCTTGGGTGTAGGTGCTCTTTTTAACACAAGCACCATATGCTTTCCATTTGTATGAAGGACAAACATCTTTAATAAGTAGATTTCCTGGACTTGTTAAGCTGCAAAATTATTTGAGCTATGCAAGTAGTAGTAAATTAAACATTTTAAAAGATTTTTAAAGGCTTTTTTTTCCCAGCATGTATGTAGGTGCACCACATGTGTGCCTGATGGCAGCACCTAGAGACCAAAGAGTGTGTCCCCAGAATTGGTGTTACAGATGGTTGTGAGCCACCATGTGAGTGCTGGGAACTGAACCCAGGTCCACATCCAAGAGAAGTAAGTGCTCTGAGCCCTCTTTCCGGCTCCTAAAAGGCACATTTTTAAAATCAAAAGTACTCTCCTAATTTAAATCAGAAAACTTTACCACTTTGCTATTACTATTAATTCAACATTTAACAGAAAAAAACTGGGCTCTTATTAAATTCTGCAGCATTATAGTTCCCTAAAATCTTATATCATTTTATAAATTTATTCCACCACTGCCACTATGGGACTATAGCCACAGCCCCAACAGCTTGTACACTTATTTTACTGTTAGAATACTTATCTACTAAAAAAAAAAAAAAAAAAAAAAAACAGAAGGATTATCTATAAACCTTTTACATTGGCTCAGAGAAAATGTTTACTCAGTGAAATTGCAATAACTGTTGGTTCAAAGCATGTGTGCTGTGAATGATGCATGCCTTTCACTCCAGCACAGGCAGGAAGAAAAACTGCCATAAGTTTACAGTCAACCTGAGCCACAGGAGTACCACACCAGCCAGGGCTACCTCAAACCAGACACACACACAGCCCTACTCCCCAGAAAAATTAAAAGCAACTGAAAAGTTAGGTACTGTGGGTTTCAAATATGAACTACAACCATCACCCCAAGAGAATTTCCATGATGTTCATAGAGATACTGTGATTATCCCAACTCTGGAATTTTAAAAATTTTCTATTTGCAACTAATGTATGCAGCTACTTCCAACAATTCCACTCTTACCTGGAATGTACCCAGAGAATGTCAGTTCTGTCCACACAAAAATTCGCTCACAGATGTTCATAGAATCATTATTCATACAAGCCACTGAGTAGATACAACCCAGATGCCAAAACACCAATGAAGAAGTAAACCACATGATATTCTACCCAAGCACATGAACTGCCCCCAAAAGGAATGAAACTACTGATAATGAGGCCAGAGTGGACCTTGAATACAATGCTATGCTAAGTGAGTGATGTCTAACAAAAAGACTGACTCTGTTATATGACACACCTAGAACATAAAAGTCCACATGAAATGAATATTAGAGCTTCAGGGGCGAAAAGGGAAGTGTAATGGACAGCAACACGGGCTTTTCACGAGAATTACACAGTGGTGATGACTACACAAGTCAATGATTACATTAAATCCAATAACTGTGCCCGAGAGAAGGAACACTAGAAATAAGGAAGCTGGGGCACAGCTCCACAGTCAGAGAAACTTAGTGTGCAGGAGGCTCTGAACTCAGTTGCCAGCACCAAAAGAGGGAGGGAGGTTAGTATGAATTTTATGAGAATTCTATTTCAGTAAATCCATGAGGTATATGCTTATTACAACTTATATTGAATTTCTAAATCACTTCACATCTATTAAAAAGAAAAGCTGGATGTGGTAGCATACACCTTTAATCCCAGCATTCAGGAGGCAGAGGCAGCGGATCTCTGCAAGTTCATGGCGAACCTGGCATATAAAGTGAGTTCCAGAAATCCTCTCTCAAAAAACAAGAAAAGTTAGAGGGCCCAGTATATATCCTTCTGAAAACTTTTATAAAAAAAAAAATCTCTCATAACATCACTTTTGGTAGACATAAAACAGAAGACAGAATAATTTTTAAATGTAAATATATTTAAAAAATTAAAACACCTAAGAAACGCAATCTATGTACATGAAAAAGTAAAATATGTATATGCATAACAGCTAGTAGCAATATTACCCATAAGCAGTGGTGTCTATTCTGTCCTTATTTTGGTTTAACAGCACAGTTTTAGCTCACTGTTCTTCAGGAAATTATTTAAGGTACATAGAGCATATTATGAGGAAGTTATAGAAGACTTTAAGTGGAAAATTAATGCCAAGTAACTGTATTTTCTCTAAAAACAAATAATTTTATTAAACAAATACTTTAAGCTAGTGAACCACAAAATGAGCTTATTAAGTTTAAGATATAATCAACTTGCATAAAATTACAGGTGCCATTTAAAAATGGTCTGTTTCTAAAATATCCATAACTCAGGCTACTGGGATTTCCACAGGAGATAAACTGTCATTCCTTTTCTCTTTATGAAGAGGTCTGCTTTAGGAACATTACAGCCATGGTCTTAAGAAGCGCTACAGCATACTTGAGAAGTCACAACGGTAGAGCAAACGCATCAATAAATTCTGGTACCAGCCCAAAACAGCATTTCTGAAGGTGGCCTAGACTGAATTTCATGTGACTGTGGCCTTTATTCTGCTCTACATAGTACATGTACAGTAAGAGTTTTAATTTCTATTAGGGGAACCTATCACATTGATCATTTAGACACACACACACACACACACACACATACACACACTGACACACACTAAAGTATTTAGATGATCTAGTACTTTACTAGAAGTATAACTACTGAGCACAAAACCAACTGAGATACTGAAAATTTCTGGTTTTGGAGAAATGAAATACAATACAGTGAATGACTTTTTTCTTCATCTCTACTGTAAAAATTCACTTTGCCTATTTGACCCGTCTCTATTCATGCAATTTAATGAGCCCTCCGAAGAGTTTACACATCTTTATACAGAATTCACATCAGTCAACTGCCAGTACTTTTATATTTTCAGTGTCTTATCAAAATATGGGTAGCAAGGTTCTTCTCATTCTACGAGGCAGGAAGATGCTTCCTAAGGACATCTTTGGATGATGCAGATAGGACATCTGGGAAGGTCACGTCAAATTCTATCAGGAGGTCACCACGTTGTTCAGGATTTTTGGGAAACGGCAGCCCATATCCAATAATTCTTCTCCTCATCCCAGGTTTCACAATATCACTGACTGACATAGGTATGTTTCTTCCATCCATCGTTGGCACATTAATTGAACAGCCACACAATGCCTAAAGCGCACCAAATAAAATTAAGTTAACAAATTTCCAAACTGAACAATATAAGATCCTGCTGGATGGTAAAAGGTATTATCATGAAGGTAAAATTTTTAACTTCCAAAAGGATTGCAATAGTTATAAAAATCTTTTTCCTATTCTAGAAAATCTGCTCAAGAGAAGCATGATCAGAGATGTTAGCAGAAGCAGAAAAGAGAGGAAAGAGAAGAAGAAAGGAGAAGTAGAGGATGTCTTCCACACTGCCACAGAGGAGACCAGTCTTAAGCTGTCAACATTCAAGGTGCAGAAAACTGAAGAGGAGAAAAACAGGCACTTCAGAACTGAACTGCTCAAAACAGGAGCAAGGCCTACTTCTCCAGAAACCCTTGGAGCGTCTACTAGAGGGATGCCTTACAGTTCCTGTTGAACCACACAGGGACACCAGCCAAGACTTCCCCTTCAGAAACACACAAGGAACTCAGGAACATATGCACAGGTTAGCAACTACAACACAGTAGAGCATGAGCATAAAGGCTGTGTCACGAAGGACAAACAGAGCATCCCCTCATCAAGTGGGTCTGTGAAGCGCATGAACTAAGCAAGTCTGCACTGGTGGCTGGCACTGGGTTCACACAGTGCAGCTCTGATGCAAAGAAACAAAATAGGAAAAAAATATATAAGGGTAAAAGCTAGATTTCTACCTTCTGAGCTAGTTTGGAACGCACGGGAGGGATATACTGAGCCATTTAAGATTTGAAACAAGGACATCACCCCATTTCATAGGTTACAACAAAATTTGAGAAGCAGTGCAAGTAAGGACTCAAGGGTGATATTAAAGTGGTGGTATTATGTATTATGTATAATTATATACTTGTTATACTGTAATACTTGTTATACAAATCATACTCCAAACCAATCCTTTCAGAACAAACCATATAAATGGTAGTGGGATTGCCAATGCGGATCTCACAGAACACAACCTGAAACTAGAGTAGAGCTAACTCAACACTGGGCCATGAAGTATCTAATCAGGCTTGCACTTAAAACTGACATTTAAATGGTTAATACCAGTAATTAAATTTAGAAACTATGATGTCACCCATAAGAGAGATGTAATAGCAGCACTTCCTAGATAGTTGTTATGAGGAATAAAATATGCAGAGCACTGGATAAAGGCCAGCTCCTGGCTCCTGCCCAGACAGTTCCCTAAGCTTAACCAGCAGCATACACGTCTTTGGTTTTTCTAACTTACCTCCCGTAAACTAATTTTAGCAGTATAAATAATATTTGATCCGTCTCTTTTAAATTTGGGGTGTTCTTTGTCTTTAATAATGAAAACAATGTCTGCTGGGATACTATTTGGTGTTTCATCACCTTCCCTCGGGAAAGTAATTTTGGTGCCTTCTTTCCATCCTTTCTTAATCTCGATGGTGAGAATTTTGTCCTCAGATCTGTAACTCCTTCCATCAGGGTTTAATCTTTTTCGAGAAATCTTCATCCGTTTGGTGCAGCCATTATATATTTCTTCAAGCGATACTCTAAGTTCATGAATAATGGGAGGGTCTTGTTTGAGACGAGAGGGTCCCACAGAATTCCTGTCTCTTGGATAGCCATTCATGCTGAATCCAAAGGCACTAAAGGGATCTCCGTCTATTTCCATTTCTTCAGTGTCTCGACCTCCACCCATCCTTCTTCCAAAGAAAATTTCAAAGGGATTGGAACCTCCAAAGAAGGCTGCGAATGTGGCGTTGGGATCTCCATGGAAGGTGTATCTGAAGGTTCCTCCTTGCCCATCAGTACCTCCTGCTCCTCCTTTCAAGCCTGAGTGAAGATATAAGCGTAATTAGGAGAAAGGTTATAAGTCTACATAGTTGGCCATTCACAAATTGCTAATAAATTATCACTATGGTCTGAAACATCATTATAATTAAACAGAATAGCTACACAGCTACTGAAGAGCCATCCTAAGTTAAAGTTTTAGCTTTTAAATCATTTCTCTAAATTCTTTGCTTTAATAATTTTTTTCTTGAAACTTTGTTTCATGATAAATATGAAAAATAAAAGGAAACTGAGACTCCCTTACCTAAAGAACACTGTCCTAGCATACTGAAGTATTACAAATTTAAGTTTTAAAGACGCTGACTGAAAAGACTCAAGCAATCACAGAGAATATAAATCATAAGTACCATCATAATTAATATATAATCAATATTAATATCATCATACTAAGTAGTTTAATTCAAGTCTTTTGCTTTCTTTCAGGATTTTTATTATTTTAACTATGTGCATATGATTTCAGGTGCCCTGAAGGCCAGAAGCACCAAATCTCCTGGAGTTTGTTAAAGATGGCTGTGAGCCTTCTCATGGGGTGCTGGAAAATGAGTTCCAGTCCTCGGAGAGAGCAGCAAGTGCTCCTTACTGCCATCTCTCAAGCTCTTAGATTCCTTACTGTTTAAGAACTAAAATAGAAAGAACTCTTTTTACATCAGCAAGGGAAAAACCTCTAATAAAGAGGACAGTATTAAAAATGTTTTTGTGGACACTAGATTATTATCATCGTAGACAGCAAGACTTCTTGGGCCTATCTTATCACACCCTGACTCAAAGCATTTAAAAACAGACTGAAATCAAGAGTCACAGGTTTTTAACATGGACTAGTTATCTGTCTGACAACCCTCTTTGGACAGCACCACTAACACTTTGCCAGAGCTTCAGCAAAGTAACATGTGGCTGACAAAGACTATATATATTTAAAATAGCACTCTCTACCACATACCAATCAAAGAATGAACTAAAGCCCACAAAATAATACAGTGATGTTTTAGGAGGCCAAGGCAGGCAAACTTTCTACCATTATAAGCAAAGCTTCTGGAGGATCCTTAGAGGCATCCCTAAACAAAAAGTAAGGGAGAAAATGAAAATTATAGAACTACGATAAACTTTAATTTAAAATGGGATTCTTATATCCCAAATTGAGTAATTTGAGGCTAGGGATTAGATGATACTAATTTTTGCACTATTTATGGATATGGGTTGAAAATGACAAGTTCTCCAGTGTATTGAATGAAGACAATTAGCTACTTCTTAAAACCTTCCTATGCTACAACTAAAAAAAACAAAAAGCAAAAAACCATATTTTGAGGATCAGCCTAAAGAAGACAAAGCAAAAGCAAAATAACACATAACATGAGATTTAATCACTGTAAATGCCAAGGAGACTTAATTTTTCCTATCTTACTGTACAGTTGGTTTCGATTAAAAGATGTATATGTACATATGTACATATATATAGTGTGTATATCCTATGTCATCCTACAGTCTCAACTAACATCTAAATTCTTACCTTTATCTATGAATAGAAATCTAAAGGACCAAGGGAGACCTAATCAGAGTCCCCATTAAAGTACTGTTATACATACACACACATACACCAAGAGGACAGGGTACAGAGGATGGTATGGAGGGAACATGAGTGGTAATTAAAATAGTAGTTGGGGTATTCCTTGTAGAAACAGAGTCTGAGGAGGGTAAGCACAGTTCCTGTGCAGCTCTTCAGTCTCCCTGTTCTAATTTTTGTTAGTGTGGCTGTAACTCCAAATGTGAAAAGTTAATGACAGACTTTCTTATGTGTTAGCTTAAGTATAGAACTCAAAGTCATGACAAGGAAACTAAGTGAGTACTTAAATTATTTCCTTAACTATATCCCTCTTCTCATAGATTTCAAAAAGCATAATATAATTTACCAGTCAATTAAGTTGGGTAAATGAGCTTGCCTATTCTTAGCTCTCTAAAAGGCAAAAATCTAAATGCTCTGGGCACACAACAGAAAAGAAAGAATAACATTTTCAGTATTACATCATAGGTTTGGCTTTTCCCTAAGACCTCTTCCCTTGCTCCCAAAAATGGTAATTCAGTCAGTATTACAGTCGGTGAGAAGATTTACACACAGACTGAAGTGACTTATTCATCAGAGCTGACAAAATACACCTTGAGATTTTCCTACACATCAAATGATCAACTATGTAGGTCAGATAAAGAATGATACTACTTTAATATATGAGAAATAAATGAGAAAATCCTACCAAATGTAAAAATGACAAGCACTGTAATATTACACGAACTGCTTGCTGTCTCCTGCACTGCTTAACACCAGCATTCTAACAAAGACGCCATCAGCCAGTAACCTTAATCCTGTACACTACAACTCCCAACAAAAACTGTCAACATCCAGCTGGATTCTCTCTGCTCTATGAAATGTTTTCTAGACACCAATTGGGGAATGGATTCTAGATCCCATGTCTTCCTGGGCTTTAAATCAGGTAACCAATGTAATATACAAAAACAAATACATTTTGGGGATACTACCCATTGCAATGACTTCTACTAGTTAATCTGACAAAAAAAATATGAAAATAAATATTTGAGAAGAATTGGAACTGCAAAGAAAAAAGTGATGGCACTTATTAATTCTTTTTTAAGCAGGCCTACTGTATAAAATTTTTTGATTTGGAACAAGACTTCAGAGTATTAGAAAAAGTACCTTTAAACAGTTTAATTCACAAGAACCCAAGTAACTCATGTCTTTTTAGGACATAGACAATAAAGAGGTGCAACTGACTAATGTATTAAAGAGACTAGAAAACTAGAAGAAGGTTATTATACTAAACACTTATGTTTGAACACATCAAACTACTTTCAGCATCCAGTGAAAATTACTGCACAAGCAATAATCAACCAAAGTAAAGAGTGAAGGAAAAAAAATCCTATAAGGTGTGCTTTAAGGAAATTATTTATTTATTTTTTTATTTTAAAACTGCATTTATTTGTGGTCAGCCAGTCTGGCTGTGACACATACGGTATGAATGCAGAGGTCAGAGGACAACTTTCATAAGTCATTTTGCTCTTCCCACCACATGGGTCACAGAGATTGAACTCAAGTCCACAAGCACCTTTACCAACTGAATCATCTCTCCGGCCCAACAGAGAAGAGTTGAAGACAAACCTCTGTTCATCTACCCAACCAAGCCTAAAACTTTACGGCAGAGAATATTTCAAAATCCAATTTTAAATTTCTAAAGTTCCATGGTTATTTTCAAATGTTTCAGCTATGGAGAAAACTGATTACTTAATATGTAGATTACATTACAAAATTAATTTGTATATAGCTCAGCTGTAGTAAATTTACTGTCCCCACAATCCATTCATGGAATATTTCCACCATTCTCTCAAGAGTTCTCTACTTCTTTACAGCTTATTCCTATTTCTACCTCCAGCCCTAAGCAAGCTAACTCAACTGTCTCTATAAAGTTATCTTTTCCAGATATTTCATAAGTTGAGTTATATAACACATATCGTCTTTTATATCTGGGTTCTTTCATTCAGCATATTTTTCAAGATTTATTCAGCTGTGACACATTTCATTAAATGGGTCATTTTACTGCTAAAAAGTAGCACACTGGATTATCACTCCTTGTTTATCCATTTGCTAAACCATGTAACTTTTGGACTGTTTTGATGCATGGACCTTAATGGTGCTTTTGTGAACAATCAGGTACATGTCTTTGTATGAGCAAATGCTTTGTTTTGTTACTTTTTTCCCTTTTATAGAGTCCCAGGAATAGAACTACTAAACAACGTTAAAACATGGTTCCTTTATTCAATTTTTTAAAAATCAAAGCATTTTATATTTCAGATGTTAAAAGAATTTTACACCATGAACAAACATTAACAGCTTCCTTAATTCCTAAGTACAGACATTCGGTGTCATCTCACACATTTCTCAGCCAATAGCTCCTTATTCTGCTCCCCAGGCCTCTCCAAGAGTAACAGAACACTGAATTCTAAACTGTGAGATACAAGTGTACTAGCTGGAGCACCGCCTCCTTCCCGCTGTTACTCTTGGAGAGGCCTGGGGAGCCAGACTATGAGCACAAACCATGAGAAAAAGAGAAATCTTTTCTGCTGATCTTACAATTTGCATTATCTCACACAGAGTATTTACAGCAGATTTTGGGGGAATGGTACTGAGGACTGAGAACAGGGGTTCCCACATGCTTAGCAAGTGTTGTGACGCTGAGCTATAACTATATAACTATGTGGTATTTTACCAAAGGGTGAAAAGACAGACACTTTTCTGTGAAAAACGAATTCTAAAAGCTCAATAGTTTTCACTCTCCTGTATCTTCAGGTCACTAATAACTACAAAAATATTTCTGAATAATGTATGTCAATGCTTTAAGAAAGTAATCCTACCTAACACTCCTTCTACTGCTTAAAGCATGTATCTAGGCAAAGAACATCAAGAATAAAGGAGAGTCAGGACATACAGATAATCATGATTTTGGTTTTGAAAATTCAAGTCACTGGTAATAATCAATTTAAAAAAAAGTAATAAGGAAAGGGGACAGAACTACTCAAGAAAAGCACTGTCAAGAAGAAACGTAAAGATCAAGTGTACCACTTGGTGACTGAAAACTCTGAAGTCAAACATGTTTAATATGCTCAAATCCTACAGTTCAATCACAGCAGAGGTTCACTTGAGCAGGCCCTACTATGGAGCCAAATATCAGAGGCTTTTGTGGGACCTTCTCAAGAGTGGCTGGAGTTCAGGTAATTCTCAAGAGCCCGCCACTCCTGAGAGGCCACATCATGCCATGCTCAACAGTGTGACCACAGGAACATAGAGGTGAAACTACCCCTGCCTTTTTTTCAGTGTCTCACTTTGTAAGAACCTGACCCTGGAGAGCCACATCACAACCAAAGGCAGCAACATAAACTTTACTTCTTGGGACTCTAACCAAAAAATGAAGCCAGAGGGAAAGAGCCCCACACCACTGAAATGAGCTACCAAATTAGCTTGCTTAACACAGAAATGAGTGCTAACAGCTTGGCTCCCTTTGAACCATTTCTTTCTAATCAAGAAAATTTGATGTTTAAATGCTATAAACAAAAGGAAAACGAAACTGTTTCCATAGCCGCAGTGACTTAGAAGACATTTGGGAAAAGTAATGAAAAAGTACCTTAGTCCCAACTCTGTAACTTAAAAACCCCAGACCTCTGGTGAATGAACACATTGTTGCTGCTGCTGCTGACTGACAATTTAAAAGTCCTACTTTATGGCCACATTTCACCCGAGAAGCTGGACAAACCTGGATTAAGATGCAGATTCATAAAAGGAGAATCTCAAAGGTCTTCCCTGTACTGAGCTCTCTAAGTTATGGTCTCAGAAAGCAAGAAAAAAAAAAAAAAAAAAGTATGGCTGAGGGAAAAGACAAGCCACCATGCTTTCCTCTTCACCTCAATAGTAAAAATTTCAAAAGGAATAGTTACCTAAAAGAAAATCAGTCATTGTTCCAACTAGGTGGCCATCTTAGGTAAAACAACAAAAACAACACAAAACAAAAAACCTGAGATCTTATTCTCCTGGCACAATATTGCTGTTTACAATTAAGATAAAAACTTGTTCTGGTATTTTATGACATCAGGGAAATTCTTTCCTCTCTAGGCAGACTGCCAGAAACAACTAGAAGCTAAATGCCTCTGCCTTCTGCTTCTACGACACGCAGCTCTGTCCTGTTCAGTCTCAACTAGCGTCTCTTTAAAAAGGCAAAATAACTTCTTGTTTTTCTAAGTAAAATATAAATGACCCAGAGTTTGAGCTGCCAATCTTAATATTTTAAATGACTTAAGATTCTATTAATTCTGACAAAAAAAATCCATTAAAAAACAAAACAGGTTGCATAAGACTTTTAAACAGGCATGAGAACCGAAGACTTCTTTTAAAATATAAAATGTTAAATTCATAAATTTAACAGTAGAGTACGTACATTTTATAAGAAAAAACAAATCCAAAAGACAAACATGAACATTTCATTCAGAGCTCATTCAAATAATCAAGGATTAGACCTTGTTCTAAATGTTTTCTTTTTAATTTAGGTATGATCTAATTTAATGATAAACAGAAGGCTGAGAGAAAAAAAAAAAAAAAAAAAAAAAGGTAAGATTCAGAGCCAAAGGAAAATATGCAGCTTACCTTCTTCCCCAAACTGATCATATATTTCTCTCTTTTTAGGATCACTCAGTACTTCATAAGCTTCTGCGACCTCTTTAAATTTTTCCTCTGCTTGAGGAGATTTGTTCTTGTCCGGATGAAATTTGAGGGCTTGTTTTCGGTAAGCCTTTTTAATATCTTCATCTGTAGCTCCTTTTTCAATTCCCAAAATGGAATAATAGTCTTTCCCCATTTCGAATGCCTTGAAATGAACTTAGATTTCCCTTTGTAAAAGAAAACAGCGTCCCCAGGCTTAGCAACACAATTGATTATGAGAAAATAAAAGCAAGCTGGATATCTTACAAGTTAAAGCAAATCAGCGATTGCTCAGCTGTCCCAAGGCAGCAGGCAGCGTCTCTATTTAATTCCTTCCCCAGCAGCTCACTTACAGATAAATATACACCACAGGAGAGCCGGCCTCCTTCTAGACCCTCCCATTTCACTACGTGTCTCTGTACTTTCTAGAACAGCTAATGCTACAGGACGTCACTTTCCCAGCGGCCTCTAGGCAAAGCACGGAGCTGTGTCTCTCCTCCTCCATGGTTAACTATTCCCTGTCCTTCTTTCTGGCTCTACCATTTTATTTCCTGTGGATCTACCAAACCAGTGTTTCAGCACAGAATGTCACAACTACATACACATTTACTCCATTAGAGGTAAGAAGGCAACAGAAATAATGATAGTCATTAGGCAACCCATTTAAAGTGATTATACAGATAGTCACAAACCTTGTGAAGGTATTCTAATTTCATTTTCAAGTTACCTAGCTGGAAAATGTTTGGAACTAAAATATGAGGTGTTTACATTTAAAATCTTCAAATAATCTGGGTCATTTTCAAAATTCCTGTGGTCTATCAATCTAATTTCATATGGTAAAAGGGCTATTATAAAATTGAAAAGCAGTATTTTAATATAAACAGATGACCTAAGAGTGATTTTTACTAGGTTTTTATTTTTTTGTAATATTTAGTAATCAAATTATTTATAAAAGCTCACTGCTTGCATTCTGAGGGTCACTGTTTTCATAGTGCAGGGGCAAGGAGTTAGGGCAAGGATCAGATTTCAACATGGTCATTTCACTGTAAATCTCACCCTGGATCAATTTAAAATCTGGATATACAATTTAAAAGAGGCAGCAAGGTAACCATACTTTAAAAACACATTTCCCCTAATTTTAAATATGTACTTATTGACAAAGATTTTTTAAAGCATGGGGAATGAAATTCTCCCTATCTTTTAAGTGTTCCCTGGTACTATTAGTATATTAGAAATATTAGTATATTTCCTTTTAATCTCTTAAAAAACAATGCTGTTATTTGCTGTAATGTTTTTTAATTAACAAAGTATAAAACACTTTTACATTTATATACCATTTGATGCTTTTTTATGTTTCTTGAATAAATGAGAAATATTTTCAATGTAAATAATTCATCTTTTATCTCTTTAAGGGTTTTCAATCTTTTTTTTTTTTTCAAAAATGTTTCCATTTCTATGTAAGTACTGAAACTCAAGGCCATGGACATAGCTACTAGGAAGCCTTTCACATCTGAACCATTTCCAGCCACCATTTTTTATATGATATTGAAAAGATGGATTACTAAGACAATGTCCAAAAAATGTACTCAATTCATACTGTATTTAAAAACCCTCAATGTCTGGAAACTTGAAGGAGTTGCTGCTAAAAGGAAAAGGAAATAGACATACGTTAAGAATATACTGAAAACTTCATGGCTCCCGAGCAATGGAGTCACCCCTCTGCTTGCCAGCACTTTGATGACTAGGCACTTGGGAAGTCTGCAGACTTTAAGGCTGTGACTTCCTAGCCCTCAAAGTCCCTCCCGCAGCATCTCCCTGCTGGGAATTTCACACTTCGCCTCCCACAGCCGCAGCTTAGTGTGCTAGTTTCAGGTTTTCAGTCTATCAACAAACATCAGTATCTCAAGACTTTTTTTTTTTCCAAATCCAAAGAACTAGGAGAAGTTAAATCAAAAGTCACCATGCGACTGATACTCTGAAAATGCACACACCACCATACTCAGTCATAAATATTTACTTGCTGATACAGGTCTGTGGGTGCAGATATTGAAAGAATATGAAAAAAAGCTACAATTAGTAACTGACATATTTTCTCCTTAAAAATATAGCTAATATATCCTTGTCCAAGTGTTAAATAGGACTTGGCATTTAAATTTTTTATTTTACTACTAACTGGCAAGATGCCATGTTATAATTTTCTTCTTTTTATTAAAAGTAGCTAGGCCTGATGTCTTATGCTTGAAAATCTAGGTCTCAGAAGAGCATGAATTTATTTTTCCAAGTATGTAAAAAAGCTTAAATGTGATTATTTTATCAACATTAACAGCAATAAGGTTTTCATGCATAAAAGCATGTTGAAGTAAAATGTCACTTTATTTTAATGACACATGGGCCAGAAATAATTAAAAATTTGAAAGTCATTTATTTTGGTCTTAGCACTTTAATCAAACTTCCTTAATTGGGATATTATGCTTACTAACTATACAAAATTTATTTGTATTTAAACCCCAAACACCTAGAAGTATAACACATCATTCAACTGACTCCATCTTCTAATTTGTTTTTTTTTTTTTTTCTTTTTCTTTGTGACAGGGTTTCTCTGTGTAGCCTTGGTTGTCTTGTACTCACTTTGTAGACCAGGCTGGCCTCCAACTCTCACAGACCCTGCCTCAGCCTCCTAGAGTGCTAGGATTACAGGCGTGCACCACCATAGCCGGCTTCTAATTTGGTTTTTATTCCTACATAACAAGACAAATCTTACCTGTTGTGCTGGCTCTCACCAATCTCAACACTCAAAAGACTGAGGCAGCTGAAGGTCAGCCTAAGGTACACAGTGAGCTCAGGGACAATCTGAACTAAGTAAGGAAACCATGTCTTACTCACAAACTATCCTCAGTTCATTGTAAAGAGTACAGAGACATGGGCTGACTTCTAGGACTCTGGGTTTAATCCCCAAGAGATAGAGGAAGGAGGAAGGAAAGAGAGGAGATAAAAAGCTCACAGTGGTACTAAGGAACATTTAAACAATGGTTTAAAGCAGATTAAAACTTGTTAAAAGATTCTGGAGTCAAGCCTTTCTGAATTAGAATTCTGGTAATACCACTCACCAGCTGTGTCCTGGGATCTAAACTCTATCTCAGCTTCCTTGTCTGTCAATTTGGTTGCTATCAATATTAGCTTTATAAGACTGCCATGAGGATTAAATATAATGTACACTATTGTTTAAATATGGAAGACAGTGAAGATTAAAAGTGTTAGATACTTTTATGATTTATTATGTGAAAACCAACAACGTTCTTTCAGAAAACACTGTTATAAAAGTACACATACATATATGCAAACAAAACTATGTTTGGCTCTTTCCAACTATTCCTGTTAATATATGCTACTTATCTACCTTGATTCTGTTAATCCCAGCAACTGGAAGGCAGAGGTTGGTGGATCTTTCTGAATTAGAGGCCAGTCTGGTTTACAAAGTGAGTTCCAAGAGCCTGGGTTGTTACACAGAAAAACAATCTCAAAAAAAGAGCTATGGAGCTGGAGAGATGGCTCAGAGGATAAGGGCACTGTCTGCTCTTCTGAGTTCGATTCCCAGCAACCACATGGTGGTTCATAACCACCTATAGTCCCCTCTTCTGGCATGCAGGTGTACATATAGGCAGAATAATAAAAGAATCTTAAAAAAAAAAAAAAAGAGCTATGACTGTCTAAAGGATAAAGCCATAGGTATTTGTATATTTGTATTCTTGGTTTCTAAAGTCAGCGCTGACATTTAAACAGCTGAAACTGCTCTGTAGTTTAACTTAAAGACTATTATGGTGATGTACACTTTTAATTCCAGCAGGCAGGAGAATCTCTGAGTTGGAGGGCAGCCTGGTCTACATCATGAGTTCCAGAACATCCAGAGCTATGTGGACAGACCCTGTCTTAACCCCATCACAAAAACAAAACAAAACAAAACAAAAAAAAAAACATAAAAATACAGTGTTGAAAGCTGTGAAATTCATGACATCTACATAAAATTTTTACACTATTTTAAGCTGTACAGACTATTTTGCTACTAGTGAAAGTCTGCTGGTAAATCTCCACTTACTCTGGATTTTAGTTAGCAAAAAGCATTGTTACCAAAACAAATGAGTTAATTTCCAGACTTCCTCTCCAAGGACCCAGATACTGCTGCCATCACACCACAGCCAAGGTCCTTTCCAGCTTTACATCCAAATTCCCAGCTTCTCGTTCAGCCTTCCTGATAATAGCAATTATATAATAGCAGTGTAGAAAATACTTCTTTGTGCTCTCTGGTATCTATGTCATGTATGTGTACACACTTGGTATTTAAGCAAGAGAAATTTTCATAAAGCTTTCCTATAACTATGGTCTAACAGTGAGCTATGTCTTTTCAAGTTTTTGAAGTCTTTTCAAAGTTTTTTCATCTGTTTTATTTTGAAGCAGGGTCTACATTAAGTAAGTGGGCTCTGAACTCATGCTGCTGCCGCCTCAGCCTCCTGCATGCTAGAATTACAGTAGACAGAAGCCATGAAGCCCTGCAGCTGTGATAACAATACTCAGACACTGTTCCAATATTAGCATAAAAGCAAAGACCATTGGGTTGTGTCTACTCTACTATTTCTACTATTTAAAATAATCTAAATTATTCTTTAAAAAAAATCAAACTACTAGTGACCTAATAATTACGATACCTTACTTATATGTATTATACTTTCCTTAAAACCCTGTAAGCACTAAGGAAACTAAGTTTGGAACTCAGACTTTAAATTTTCAGCCCAATTGAAAGGCCTGAGACATTCATAATGATTAAAATAACAATAACTTCTGTCATAGTTATAACTGCAAGTTTAACTAAAATGAAAAAAACCACAAATTTTAAAGAGATTCACTGTGTGTTTCTATGTGTGTGCACATGAGCTTGTGTGTCTGTGGTGTGTGTGTGTGTGTGTGTATGTGTGTGTGGCGCAGGGGATGGACCCAGGGCTCTGTACAGGTTAGGCAAGTGCTCTACAGCTAAGGGCTCCATCTCCAGACCTTACCCTATTAGGCTACAAGGCAGAAGACAGAAGCTTAAATCAAGTATCATAAAGATATTAACCCTATTTACTTAAGATCAAGTTGTTTCTGGTTGGGTGGTAGAGGCCAACTTTGGCTGCCAACTTTGCCCCCCATCAAAAAA